CTTGCATCCTTCGCTCCGCTTCTCCCCTCTGCCTTTCTTGGATGTAGCCGTCCCAACAGGTCTGCAGAGATAGCTTCCTGTGGTTTGGGTTTGGTGCTCAGTACCTCTCCATGTACCTGTTTGCCATCGGGGCATCTCCCACAGCCAACTAGGATGCTGCTACGTGGTGAAAGGAACATCAACAAAATGCAAAGGGCGATGCAGTAAGTGGGAGGAGACATCTACACACCATGGCTCTGCTGGAGAGTTAATATCTAAATATGTAGGAAATCTCAGAAGTCCTTAGCAAAGAGCTTCATAATCTGATTTTAAATGAGCAAAGGCGCTGAACACACATTTCTTCAAAGACAGGATTTTTCGACCAACCAACCAGCAGAAGGAGAAGTCTACAACAGTGTGGTCCTAAGCATTTTGTGTTTACCTGCTTGTAAACCTAGAGCCTCTTTATTTCTCTGTCTGTCTGTCTGCCTCTGTCTCTGTCTGTCTCTTTTTGTCTTTATGACACACACGGATTTATAAATATATATGTAAATATAAATGCATATGTGTACGTACATCTAATATATATTTCAGAAAGTCTTGGACATCAAATGACTCCTGCAAAAAAAAAACCACGTTGATGAGTTAAGTGTAAATGAATCAGAAACATGTGGACTGAATTCTCTTCAAAATACCCTAGGGTTTAAAATGAGAGGGAAAAGGTACTTGTAGGGGGAAAAAAAAGAAGTACATTTTGGGCCTCACTGAACCTAAATCATTTGAAAAATAGTTTAAGATGTTTGCTAAATCCAAAAAGCAGCTTTGCTCCCACCATATGGCAATGTCAAAGTGGCTCTTCAGATGAGCTTAAGCCTAATTTTAATTTCTTGCACATGTGGTAAAAACATCTTGGAGGACTCTTGAGCCACTGTTCAAGGGAGGGAGCACCCAGAGTCTGGGGATTTGGGGCGCCTCTCATTTGCATAAGAATGACTACAGGCCTAGCTTTCTCCTTCTCTTCTTGATGCATCCTGCAGGGGCTGGTTTGCTGTTTCACAGAGTTCTGGGCCCTGATATGCCCTCTGCAAAAGACTTTTCTCTCCACGCCAAAGCTTCTGAACCTGGCTCTTCACTCCCAATGCTTACTGGTTTCTGTTGGGAGGTTTGCTTCGCTTGGGCGTCCATATGTGGGCATTTGGGATATTCTTCCCAGGGTTTCACAGGATTTCCTCCCTCATGCACCCCCCAAGTAATCACTGCAGGATGCTGTCTATTAGCAGGCTGGGCAAATCCCCAGGAATTGGGGTCATTAGGAATAGTTCTCGTGGTTCAAAATCTCTCTGGTCCTTTGGGGCATCTCCCCAGCTGCACTGATTTATCCCAGAAGTCCTGGATGAAGCTGAGGTAGGTCAGGCTGGAGATTTTCCTCCAAAGTCATGTCGCCCCTGCCAAGGAGGATCAGAAACATGTGGGGGTGTTCTTTACTAATCGATTCCAATGATTGGAGGAGGCACTGCCAGCATTTGATGACAACGACCAGAAATACAATGCACCCTATAACCAAGAGGACAGTCCCACGCCAGGAAAAACGGCCCTGGATCATGCAGAGGACTTCCACGTGGGTAAAAGCCCTGTCAATAATCCCCCGAGTCCGGAAGCTAACCCGGTTCTTTCTATCAGCTCAACGCTTCATCTTCTTTCACTTTTTCAGTGTATCCTGGACTTTCCATACATTTCACTTCTATGTCCTCCAAGGGAAAATTGATCTTGACAGCACTGAGGACAACACAGACGAACACCCCATGCAGGACAACACTATTAGCAGGACGGGAGTCACCAGCACACAGCCATAGCCGTCGGTGTCCGTCGGTGTCTGCAGCCCCTGTGCTGATGGCAACTCAGCATCAAAATGCAGTCCCTTTGTTCTGCCTCCCGTTACCGATTTCTCATTTGTGCTGTGATTATTGTGTGTGTGTGTGTGTGTGTGTGTGTGTGTGCCGATTGCATGTGTAGGTTTTATTATTTATGATTTTCCATGTCAGCAGAATAAAGGGAAGCTACAAAACATTTGTTACGAAAAGGGGCATTCATTCTGGTACGATAAAACCATCCCCACAGAGGAGCCGAGTGTGACACGGCAAATCATAGAGCAGCACAGAGCTGGGAGTCGGTAGCCAGGGGTGTCGTTTGTGCACCCCACCTCTCATCCGATATTGGGCAAATCTTGTTGCTCCTCTAAGCCTGAGTTTTCCCATCTCACCTGTGAGCACACTGGACTTGATCACCGCGTCACACAAGCTTCAGTTCCCCAAATGTGGGGACTGCAAAAGCCGTAGACCTATCGCACCCAGAATAATGGCTTCATTTCAAGATGCACTTTACCATTTTTCAAAAACATGCATCCATTTGAAGCCAGGTTTTGCTTCTCCTCTTCTTCTACAGAAGTCACTGCAGATGCATTTCCTTGGACTCTGAGAGCACCGGTATGATGACACAGGACAACTGTAACTCAACCTCAGTAACAAGGAGGCAAGAGAGAAAACAGATTGTGAAAAAGCACATCAATTCCCTGTCAAAACAAAGGGGACCGACTCCTCCACTTCTGCCAGTGGTTCCCACATAGGCAGGATTTCATGTCCCCAGATCTTCTAACGTAAGAGACACCGGTGATCTGAGGTTTCATACAATGTCTCCACACATCTAACTATTGATTCATTTAAAAGAGAATTAAATAACATATTAGTATATAAAAGCACAGCATCTGTGTGTTAGAATCCACCCTGGTTCGAGACATCTTTGTGAAATAAACTAGAAGACTGCTTTTAGCTTTGGAAATCTAGTCGTGTAAGCCAGGGGTCAGCAAATTTATTCCTAAGGGGTTGAGTAGAAAGTACTTTAGATTTGCTGGCTATAAAGTCTCAGTTGCAACTAGTCTACTGTACTCTTGGGCTGCAAAAGTAGCCACATATAACTTTGTGAGAAGGAATGTGCTGTGCTCCAATAAAACTTTATTTAAAAAAAAAGTGACAAGCTATCTTTGGTCCTGTTGAACCCATTCTGTCTGCCTCAACCCAGCAAACAACCATTAGAAGCAAATGGTGATAAATGTGTTCTTTAGAAAACTGTTCAAGATCTCACTTGATGACACAGTTGGGTAACTTCCTGTCCTTGGAGATTCAAAAGAACAACTGCACAGGGACCACGCCTGCCCCTTTTCTTTGGTCTACAGTGTGGGTTTTGAAAAGAGGTCAGTTGTAACACCGCTGTGTCTGTGAGAAAAATGATTTGCAGGCTACACTCATGGTTGGCTGTTGGGGATGTGGGAAAGCTATTTCACACGTGCATTTCTGATATCATCTCGTTACAGTGCCTGGAATATCCCTTCTGGCCCAGCAGTGCCGGAAATCTTGCTGGGAAATGGTCAGAAGTCGTGACTGTGACTGGTACCCAATCACTGGATTAGTCAAAGCAGTCCTGGGAAGACAGGCAATGTGGGGCCCACCAGCCTGGAGTCTCCATCAGAGTCCGAGGAGTAGGTTCCCTTCTGTTTCTAAATAGATATGTGCCTGGAGCAAGCACTTAACATCTTTGCTACAAGATGAACAAAATGAGCTCACACATTTCAAAACATCTACAGTTACCAAACTTCTAAAATCCCCTACCAAGCCCACGGACCTAAAGGAGGATTGTAGGAAATATTTTATGGCAGGAGTTGATTGAGCAAGTCCATATTGGATGTTTATTGCTTTTAGTCATTTTACCCACTTTCTAAGTTCAGGTTAGCACTTCTTTTGAGCAATCACCTCCTTCTTGTTCTCAGGCTATACAGGGTAAAAGCCAGCTGCCCCTGACCTCCAGGTCAGACACTGGGCACATGACCTTATTTTGACCAATCAGTGCATTCCATCCCTCTGGCTAGTGATTGGCTCAGGATGGACACGTGACTCAAATCAGCCCAGATGAGAATCATTTCTCAGGGTTTTTTTTGTTTTTTGTTTTTTTTTTTTTTTTTTTTGATATTTAATGAGCAGAGTGGCTTTCTTTGTCTAAGATTGCTAAACTGGAAAAATGCAAGTCTGGAGTTTACATACTCCACAAAAACACAGTCAAATGAGGAGCAGAACCAAGAATCAGAGCTTCTGAAAATACTGTTCAAGTAGCTGGATGCAGTCCGGGCTAAAGCTACTGGCATCCCTTCAATGCACCTCATAGTTTATATGTATATATACAAAAATCATTGAAACAATATATTACATGTCCTTGGCTAGGAATTTGTGTTCACTTTTCTGCAATACAGTCCAGAATGAGTAGCCAGATCACAGGTATGCGAGTCCACAGTGTCTCGGCCATTACCTTGTAGTAGGGAAAAGATCTCAGGTATAGGAGAGCTTCGTGGCTGTCACGGCTCTGCGGTGTCAGTGACGTGTCTCTGAGCACAAAGCTCAGCTACCCCGGCCAGGGCCTTTTTCTGTGGAGTCCTAGGACTTGGCTAAATTGACAAAAGGCTCCGGGAAGAGTCATGGCTCCTTTGGTTGCAAGAAATCCACTCAAATGAACTGCAGTAACCAGGATGCACGGACAGTCCGGGGACAGGGACAGCCTCGCTGGCTTCTAAGTGGGAAATACACTAGGGCCTCCCCATCCTTTGCCCTTTTTTTAGTACATGGGGACCCCCGCCCCCCGGAATACCCTCCCAGATGGGTGCACCTGCCCTCAGCTTTCGTGCCTTGAGCCCTGGTGGAGTCAGTTGGTGTCTCAGGGTCTCAGCTCCAAATTCCCAGGACAGAGGAAGTGTGTGGCCCCCTCTTGGGTTGGGGGTCCTCTGGGTGGTCACATGGAAAGCTGGGCAGCCCTTGTGCACTGAGGAAGACAGCTCCAAGGGAAGCCTGTGTGAGAAGCAACCTCGCATGATCTGCTGCGCAGTGCTGATGCTCAGGAGACACACATGCCATTTCTGCTCTTCCTCCGGCTCCTCTGCTCCTCCTCTCCCCTCCCTCCTCCTCCTCCTCCTCCTCCTCCTCCTCCTCTTCCTCCTCTTTCCTCCTTTTTCTCTCGCTCAGTCTTCTCCATCTTCATTGTAACATCAGCGACATTCGTAACCATGATGGCGTCTTCCTCCTCCTCCTCCTCCTTCAGAATTTCTTCCTTCCCTTTGAACATAAAGAAAAGGGAAATAATTTACTCTAAAAGTGACGTGTGGGAGACAGCCTCTCAGGTCTTAGTTTATCTTTAAAATGAAGCTAAGGGTACCTGACCTGACCACGTGCCCTGCAGAGCAGTGGGGAGACACAGAGAGGAATCAGTGGGAGCACTGTCCCCCTGAGCACACCCCTCGCTAAGACCCTGTCCTCTCATGCCCTCCACGTTACTAATGACAACACAGCACCCAGTCTGTTTTCCTAGTACCCATAAAAATAAGCTCCACCAGGAGGCTCAATAATTTCTCCCAAGAAACAGTGTAGACTCCCCATCTTTTAACAGGAAATTTTTCTCCAATAGATTTAATCAGGTCGTGGCTCAGTAGACCCCAATAAACGCCCTTGAGGATCTTGCCTTGCCCCTTTAAAAGGGCACAGTCTGAGGGGCTGGGGATTTAGCTCAGCGGCATAAGCGCCTGCCTTGCAAGCAGGCAGTTGTGAGTTCGATCCCCGGTACCGATAAAAACGAAAAAGACAAAAAAAATTTTAATAAATAAATAAAAGGGCACAGTCTGTAGAAACTGCAAAGAAGGTACATTGGCTCCTTATTACACTATCATTTAGAGTAGGTTGAGTCCCTCCAGGCAGGCAGTGTCCAGGGCGACAGGGGATGGGCGCTGGCCTCGGGATAAACACCATGTGATCCCGGAATCTGGAGGGCGCTGCTTCCCACTGGCCTTGCAGTCTCTCACAGGCAGATCCTAGGTGCCGGGTGGCTTTATTACATCCTGGCGTGGCCACGGCAGCCACTCAGCCTGTCCACGGCCAGCAGCCAAGAAGCAAGTGTTCCACCAGGCCCTGCCACTTGGCCCAGGCTCCTGGTGGCAGCAGCAGGTCACTGCTCCCTCCATGAACAAAGGACCCGAACAATCGCGCTTTTGTGCGGACAGTAGCCCTGGCGCTGCTCAACCTGGCTTTGGCTGGAGAGCACAAAGGAGATGGGTGAAATTCGCTGATGTTCGGGACCCAGTGCCAAGGGCTTTTTGAAGACAGACTGGGTTCAGATGTTGCGTGGCCTTGGAGGTGCAATTAACCAGCCGTCACTGGCTTGCTCTGGACAATGGACATAATTCCCACGGCTCAGGTTTCTCTCTGAGTCATCAGCTCTAGAATCAATAGCTCTCATTCTGGAGAGTGAGCTTGAGATTGTGAGTGGGGCGGCAGCTCCACTCCCACATCTCTATCCCAACGTGCAGTGTGCTAGCAGGGGTCTGAGCAGCACAGGTCAAACATGCATATCCCAGGGCCAGGGACTTAGCTCAGGGCACAGCACCTGCCTGGCAAGCCTGAGGTACTGAGTTTGATGCTTGATGCCCCACCAAAACAAATAAGCAAGCAAGCAAATATGCGTACCCCAAACAGAAATGGAGCCAAAAGTTAACTTTGCTATATTTTGACCCAAATGCCTCACAATGAACAACATCCCTGCCCCTTTTTATTTTGAGGTAGGGTCTCTCAGAGTTGCTGGATCGCCCAGCTTGGTATTGAACTTGTGATCTTCCTGCCTCAGCTTCCCAAACTGCTGGGATACAGGAGTGTGTCACCAAGCACAATCGAGCTTTTAAATTTTAAAAACTTATAGAAATATATCATGCAAATAGGAAATACATATAAGTGATCTATTTAACGATGAAATATCCAGGCGATCATCAGTCAGGTCAAAAAAGGAAAAGCATATCACAGGCCCCTGGGAGCCTTTCCTTTACTTTCTGAACTAACCCCTACCCCTAAATCTGCCTCGTAAGATCATTACCTCACTGTGTATGACATAATGTCTTACTTTGTACCTTTTTTTCTATAACTGCCGTGTTCAAAAGGCTTATCAATGTTGTCACCGTCACTCTAGCTGTTGTTTTCATGGCTGTAGACTATTCTGTTAGTCAGAGCTTGTATTTGAAACAACTGTGATCCAGGAACCTGCCAGCTGCTGCAAGGTGGATTCTGCAAGGAGGTTCACATTCCCTTCTACTTGTACATGGGTCCTCTTCCAAGGGGCGGGCTCTGGGTTCTGCGGTGGAGGAAGGGATGGCCTTGGGACTCGCCTTGACCCATACAATAGAAAGAAAGGACTTGAGAATTCTGGATCTGGATCTCACCGGGACCAGCACTTTGTGCCTCTTGGAAGCCAGCACTGTTGACAAAGTCCATGAGAAACTCCGTGAGAGAAAGTGGGCTCACTGGGGAGCCACAGCGGCAACAGCCACCCCAGTAAAAGCTGAGATGGTTTCATGAGTGCTCTCCTGTCTCCCTGGCCCCAGCAAGCCCCAGGTAGAACAAAACTGTACCGGAAGCTCAGCTGAGCCTGCAGGAGGTTAGAAAGCAGCTCTGGCATGTCAAGCCCCTGAGTGGGGTGCAGGGGCGGGTGGTGGTGGCAGTGTTTGTGATGCAGTGATGGATAACTGGAAGGGCATGCCTAATAATTTTCTTTTCTCTTTCCTCATGCATGGTATATTTCTGAGCAAGAGTTTCCTCTTTAATAAGGTGATGTTATTTACAGCTTTGCCTTTCAGCCAATGCATCTCTGCCTTGTTTTCATAACCCTTTCCTCCCCGCCTTGCAGCCATGTTCTTGTTTGTGCAAAGGATGCTGGGATTAGGTCCATGGATACCACCAGGAACTAGATACAGAAAGCAAAAGAAAGAAATAAAAGCTGTTTTTAAGGTTACATTGTGGTAAAGTATGTGTGTGTTTAACCTATGAATCTCCTAGACCTGCCAGAATTTCCAAGTAGTTCTGGGCTCACGAAAACATCTTTTGGGAGAAAAACACACTAGTTGATCTTAATACACAGGCACCGGCTTCATTTGGGGAGGAAGGATGCGGTCACTGACAATGGAAAATGAGAAGGATAAATCTCAGGGCTGTTTCCTGGTGCTCCAGGCTCACAAACAGTTAACAGCTCTGCTCCGGTCTCCAGCCTGGGCTGTGGGGGAGTCAGAAATGGCAAAAGTCCTCCTGCATTTGCACAAATGTAATTGCTTCTAATGCTACTTAGGTCTCGAAGAAGCTCTAGAGTTTTCATTGCATTGAGCTCTCAGCTTCGTTTTCCCTTTCAAAGCTGCACGCATTGAATGTTGTATAAAAGGGTAAAAGTGAGGGCAGAGGTGGAGGCTGTGGAGACAAACTGCGGAAAAATTAGAAATATTGTAGTGTGATAGATTTAGTTCCCAGGACAACGGAGACTCTGGAAGGTCAAGGTCTCTCCAAGGAGACGGGAGAGGCCGACTGAAGCAGCGTACTGGGTTTGAATGTGGCTCCACCCGTTAGTTAGCAGTGATTACTCCGGGCAAATGACCTGCGTTTCCTGAGCTCTGGTTTCCTCTTCTGTAAAATGGGGCTAAGGGAAACTTCACAGGATTGGAGAGAAGAATCAAAGAGAGAATTCACGTGAGAAAGAATTCAACTCAGTGTCAGAGACCTCAATGGAGTGGTAGCTCTCTGCCATAGAAGGACATTACAGGAGGTAGTTTTTGAAATCCTGACAGCTCATCTAGATGACAGTGGATTTAGGAAATGCTTTCATCAAGGAAGTCACAAATTCCCAGGGAGGTTTTATAAGCCATCATCCCTTGGATGCTGACAGTGCATGTCTGCTACTGCATCGGTCACTCTGCCGGGGCCCAGGGCACAATCATGGCATTGAGCAATCCTAGAAAAGGGTTCTATGGTGTCTGTGGTTCATTCTGACTTCTCCCAACAGAAAACAGAGGCGTAAGAGGACAGGGTGAATGTTTATGAGCCTTAAATGAGGAAAGTTAAGGAGCAGGCCATTCATTTGGACAATAAACCAACATAGACAGCATATAGAGATTTCTCAAGCATTGATTTAAAATTCTGAGGCCCTCAGACAGAGATACATTTGTATATCCAATGTGCAAAAGTAAGAAGCTTTTGAATTTTGGTGGCTTAGCTTTGTGATTTATTTTATGTGTCTTATAGAGAATATCTAGTTTAATTTCCCCTAAGAAATTATTTCCTCCTACCTATTAGCTCTCTCTTGCTTACTGAAGAAAGTTGTCTGGGAGCTATAAACAGAGTTGGAGTCAAGTGAGGAGGATGTAGAGAGGAGGAGAACAATTATTCCCCGAGCATTTATGCTACGGTTAGAATAAAATCAAAGCTGTGCCCAAGTGCAGGATTCTGTCGGAACACCTGGGGAGACTGTGTGGGCCTCAGGAAGGAGACCTGAGATCAAATTCAGATGAGACTAGAACACAGAGGAAGAACAGTTTCAAAGTCCTGCAAATTAGCAGAAAATCAAGGTTGAGCGTTCAAAGGAGGTCAAGGAAAATTGTTCTGGATTAAGATCATGGGGAATTCAAGGGAACTTTTGTCTTGATTTTATGCATGTAGAGGACCAAAGCAAAAATCAGGTAGTGGCTTTTGCTGATTCCAAGGCAGCCTTGCCCTGGTGAATCACTCAGTCCTGTCTTAATATAAACAGCCAGCAAGGAAAAGGTAAATACGAGGCAGGCTTACCAAAACAGAGACTCAGAAATGCGTGCCTTTTGCAGATTTAAACTAATTCTTTAGCATCTATTTGGGCAACATCAGCTTTCTTCGTTCACATTCTAGATTCTTTTCCTCTGTCTTCCCTTAATCTTTTTAGGATGGTAATTGGGTTAAAAATGGATCCGGATGAAGATGTCAGTCATTTTGCTTGACAAATCTTCTCTTCCAGGCTCACCATTTACATCCTCAAAAGTGTCCGACCTCCCTCCTCGAAATTCAAGGCCCAAGATGTCCCAGTCTAGCTGGCAACTGGGCCTCTGTCTGTCTCCTCACACTTCCCGAGAGTTGTGGTATTTCCATCTCTGGGATTCTTCCCGCCCCTCGGTAGACTGATCCAAGCGAGGTATGTGTAGGGCGTCCCGTGCATGTTTTCAGAATCTCCAGCTCAGGCTCTGAGATCATCAAGGTCATTACAACTTGCATTTACTTCATTTATCTGCCCCACTCCTGGCACGAGACCTGGCATGGAGGACAAGCCTCCGTGTGGTTGCACACGCTCAAGAGGGGGCATAAAAGGCAAGATTCCTGGAGCGCTGAAGGACTCGGCTCTGAGATTTTAGCACCAACCTGGGTTCAAAACGAGGAGCTGGAGCTGAATGACAGTGTTCTGAATTATGTCTTCTTGTTTATTGAGAGTCTCATCAGCCCATTTTTCAGTGTGGGTTACCTGAGTTCATAGACTGCTGACAGCCACCAAATGCCAGGCTTGGTGCTAGCAATGACAATGCAAAACTGGTGAACACAGCTGTGGGTGTAGCTCAGTGCTAGGGCATTGTGGGGCCCTGGGTTCAATCCCCGGCACTGCCAAACAATAACAACAACAACAACAATAATAATAATGAAGATGCACCCTTTAACTTGAGGAAATCTATAGTCCAGTAAAAGAGTTAAATATGCAATAAAGTATTCAAATAATTTTAGCTTCTCTTTATTGATCACTTAATTATACGCAACACCTCCTAAGTCTTGTACGCTTTCATTTGCAGGACCCTGGGTGACTTTGAGCTCCTGACAAGGTAGAGTGACAGACGTCAGACTCACCTTTCCCCATCACGAAGTAGATGACACAGCAGATGTTGGAAGGCAGATGGTGCAGATCCTTGCATTCCGAAGGAGGGATATGTGAGATTGCTCCAAACCTAGTGTGTGCCCCAGGGCCGCTGAACCAACCCAGACAGCAGTGATTCCGCCAGGTCTAGAAAAGACAGAGGGCTGGGTGCTGCTGGTGCTGCTGGACTTTGTGTGGCAGAGCATCAGAGGGGAGCTGCGCTGACAAGAAACAGGAGAGTGCTGCATAGGGTTCCCCTAAGTGTCGGCCAAATACTAAGCTGTACGTGCACAAGGCGAGACTCAAACCTACAGAGAACAGTCCCTGGCAGGGATGTAGGAAGGGCATTGAAAATAGAACAAGGATTCTAGAAGTTCCGTAAGGTTAGGAGACAGTGGAGCTCTGATCAGGGAAAAAAGACAGTGCGTTGAATAACCCAGAGGTCATCTGATACCCTATGTGTCCAGTGCATCAGTAGTAAGTCCTAAACTAGTCTAGGACTAGGGGAAAAGGCCAATCCTTGCCCGCTGGAGAAAAACCTAAGTGGGCATTAGGGTCAGTGTCAGCATTTAGGAAATTAGCTGCCTGTCAGAGTAAAGCTAAATTCTCCTTAAAAGAAGACACAAATAATTCATATTTTCAATCATACAGATTTTTTAGTTTAGCAAATATAATAAAAACATTAGTAGCACACAAAAGACAAGATAGTACAATCTACACCAAGATGAAAAAGATAACAACACACTCAAAGCTGACATAAGTGTTCAAATTAGTACAGAAGACTTCAAGGAAATAAAACACAAAAATAATGGAAGAAAAAATAGGAAATCTCAGCACAGGAAGAGAAACCATGATAAAGAAGCAAAAGGAGATTATAAGACCTGAGAAGTATATTACCTGAAATTTATTTTTTTAAAAAGTCACTTGCTTTATTTAATATCAGATTGGATCCTGGAGAAGAAAAAGTTGCTAAATACAAAGACAGGTGAATGCTGATTATTTAAACTAAAGCACCCAGAGAAAAAAAGCAGACTAAAAAAAGGTGACCAAACTCTGGGAGACCTTCGGACAGTAGCAAAGGGTCTCACAGATAAATGACAACCATGCCAAAAAAAAAAAAAGAGGACAGAGAGATGGAGGCAGAAACAATATTTGAAGAAATACTGGTTGGAAATATTCTAAATGTGATTGCAAATAGTCCACTGACCTGAGACTCTCAACAAACCCAAAAGGAAGAAGCAGAGAAAACACAGAGTTACACTATCATCAAATTGCTGAAAATCAGAAATAAGGAAAAAACCTTAATAGCAACCAGAGAAAACAGATACATTTTTTCCCCATAAAGGAATCACGTCAGAGTCTGAAGCTGATTTACAATGTGATGTCCATGGAAACGTCCCTCCAGAAATCAAGACAAAGTAGACACAAACAAAAGCAAACAGATCAAAAGAGCTCGTCACCAGCAGTGCTGTCTGAAAGAAATGTTAAAGGAAATGCTTTAGACAGGAAATTAGATCTGCACAGAAGTATGAAGTGTATCAGAAACGGATAAATAATGGCTATTTAAAATTGCTTAATTTCTTTAAAAGATCATTGTTTCGAGCAAACATAGTTAATAATATGTTGTAGTGCTTACAGTACCTACAAAAGTAAGATAAATGCTAACAATACAAAGGGCAGTGGTGCTACATACAGGTGAACGGTGGTCATGTTTTTACAGTGGCTGAAAACCATTATATTGAAATTAATTTGGGGTATATGATGACAAGCCAAATATAAATTGAGATTATATTCTGCTAAATCGAGAATGCGTATTATCGTCCTCAAAGCAAGAACTAAAAGTCCAATGAAGAAAATCAAAATGAAATTGTCTGAGTCTCCTTTCCATCATGTCTCAGAGAAATGACTTTACAAAGGAAAGAGAGGCTCACGGTTCCAGGCGTCTCAGTCCATGGTCGGCCAGTTCCATTGCTGTTAGGCCAGACAGCAAGATGGAAGGGTTGGTGGAGGAAATCTACTCGCCGCGGGGTGACCAGGAAACTTCGAAAGGGTGAGGAGAGAGGGAGAGAGAGGTGGGGGAAGTAAAAGGTTGGGACAGAATACGGTCACCAGGGTTACACCGACGGCCCACTATCGTCAACCCATCTCCTGTGTCTGTGACCTACCAATAAGGACATTAAGTTACTAACCCATCAGGGGAATCATGAATTTAGAGGCTTCATGACCCAATTGCCTTCCAAATCCCCACTTTGGAGCACTGTATTGGAGACCAAGCTCCAACTACATGCACTTTGGGAGATATATCTCTCAAGTTGGTATCGTCTTTAGCAGGTTTACAAAAAAAAAAAATTCATTCAGTACAAAAGAAGGCAGAAAAAAGAGAGGGGAAGGAATCTTTTAAAAATAGGTAGGGTTGAGTTGAGAATATAGCTCAGTGGTAGAGAGTCTGGTGAGCAGGCACAAGGCCCTGAGATTAAACCTCACGGTACATTAGTTAACTTAAATTAATTTTTAAAACACCCAGGATAAATAAAAAACAAATAAGATAGTAAACTTAACCCCAACCATATTAGTAATTATAATTAATCTAAATGGACTAAACATTGCAATTGAGAAGACAGAAATGATTTGACCAGCTAAAGAAGCAAGACCCAACCATGCTGAGTTTATAAAAAGCACAGGGACTGGGGATTTAGCTCAGCAGCCTAAGCACCTGCCTGGCAAGTGCAAGGTCCTGAGTTCAATTCCTGATACAAAAAAAAGGCATGCCATAAAAGACAAAAACAATTCTTTAACAAAAAGTTAAAAGCTTCAAAGATATGTCACGCAAGTGCCACAGAAATCCTGGCCTGTATTAACACTGGACAAAGTAAAATTCAAAGCAAGTAGTGTTACGAGACATGAATAGGAGCATTTTGTGATTAAGAAGTCAAAAATACCAGCGCGCTGAACACGTAACCTTAAACGCACGCGGTAGTGAGTTTCCAAAGCAGCCCTGCATTGATTCCGTCCTTCCTCCTTTCCCTCCCTGACGCCTGCCCGTCGGTCCTCTGGGCAAGAGGTGGACTCTACTTCTCCTCCCTGTGAATCTGAGCTGCCCTGTGCACAACCTCCACCAAGAGTCTCAGCTTTGTTCCATTCCGACAGCCCTGGCCCCGCCGAGGAGGTAGCTCCTGCCACCGACCCTGCCCCTTCAGGCTGTGGGTTCTGTCACCTCTCTGCTGTGACTCAGCCCAGGGCACCTCACCACAACTGTTGGCCTCTGCACTTCTCCACGCCCTGGTAGCCCGCTGTCTGCGAAAGCCCCGCGGTGCCAAGGGTGTGGGTGGCTTTCCTGTTCTTGGTGGGGCACCTGCTGTTAGAGAGCTAATGAAGCTCTTTGTAGCCATTTGCCAGATGGGAAAGGAAGGGCTTGGCCCCGTCCTGCTCTGTCTCCTCCCTCTCCTGCTCGGGCAGACAGGATTCAGACTTCTCTGGCACCCACAAGAACTCGTGGTCCAGCAAAATGTCGGCTGCTTTGATCTGCCATTAAAAAGTGACTTTTACAAATGGAAAGCCTTTTCCATCTGTATGATTTAAACAGAGCAATCAATGTTTAAATAATAAATGCCCGCATGTAAGGAAGGCTGTCCTCTCTTGGCGGCTCTCCTGGGTTTGTCTGGGTCAATGCCGCACGCAGGTCTCTCTTCTCAGCCCCTCCCCAGGCTGGGGATGTAATCCAGGTTCTGCAGGACAGAAGCGAGGGTGCTGGGCTTCGGTCCTGGCTCGGGCAGGTCCTTGTAGCTCTCTGAGACTTGGGATGTGATCAAGGAGTTCTCATCAAATGCTCCTCCCCCCAATTTCCCCATCAGCTTGAGATCATGAGAGGCCTCCCCAAAAGGAGTCTAATCAGCCTGCAAGTGGCCAAGGAGCAGGTCAGAATTGCAGTCTGTCTGTCCCATTAAGAATTCACATGCCAAGCCCTGTGGCATAAACCCCTCACCCCAGGAAGCAAAATGATCTACTGAAACCATACAAGTTGCTATATCTTGTTTACTTCTGTCAACAAACCTGGGAAGCTGATATTTACTCCATTCTATTAATTAAATAAACAGTAATCCTATCAAAAATATTCATCTAGTTAATGATTTTCCCTATGGAAGACAGAGTGGTAAGCATTAAACATTATCTAATTTAAGTAAAAAAAAAACTAGAAAACATTCACTTATTTATTTAGTTAGTTCGTCAGTGAGTTAGTTGTGCTGGGGATGGAACCAGGCCTCGGAAATGCTGCGGAAGCACCTACCTCTGAGACGTATCCCTAGGGATATCATCTAGTTTAATGTCCACTCACATGTATGTGCTTTTCTTGTGAGTTTAAAAAAAAAATGGGTTCATGCTCTCTGTACTACTAAGAAGATTTCCTGCTCTCCTTGGAGCTTCTGAAAATGCTCGACTCTGACAGATCGACGTTGAACGAAATCCTGCTTCCATCACAGCTTACCAGGTGGTCCATTTTCCAAACTTTAGCTTCCAAGTGGATGCTTCTGTATTAAAGATTAAGAGACAAGATGGCTAATTTTCCAGGTAAAACATCGGCCATTGATATGTGGATTCAGTTTTATTTCTGGGGCAGTTGAATGCTTCAGCATGTGTCTGTTGTAGATTTGAGACCTATAACTCTGGACCTGCACAGATCCTCCAGTCTGTAAGCAATAACACACATCAAGGTAAAGGTTAGGCTCAGGCAGGCTCCACAGTTTAATACGAGCAGCAGGACACGGCAAAATGAATTCTCCTTTTGTGGAACTGCATCTTTGCAAGTGGTTTATGTGGGTCTCACTCAGTGGCCTAGCCGTAGATCTAGCTGGGGTCATTTTGTCCACCTCCAGGACAAACTTTTTATTGGGCAGACGCTTACCAGGTCAGTGTACGATGGGACCCTGGGTTGGGATGAATGATTGCCCCAAATTCTCAACTTGCCTTTGGCGGAAGTCTGCCAGGTCACTCCTCGGAGGCAGAGAGCAGGTCTTGGCCAATGTTGAGTCCCAAGGGAGACAATCAAACCCAGGTTGGCTAAAAAAATAAGTAGGTGATGTCATAATACACAGAGAAGTAAGAGATAGGCAGAGATTTTGCAGCTGAGAAAAAGAGATATCAGCTAAAGGAGCTCAGGCAAGAATGACCAGAGAGGGAGGAGGAAAGAAAGAGGGAAGAAGCCAGAGACGGAGGAAAGAAACACGACCTAGAAATGAAATCTGGAAACGAAGAATCTCCAAAATAAAGTGTCCTCTCAATTACCTTCTCGGAACAGCCGTTAGGTAGCTTCATTCCTACATCCACGGGAGGATTTTCTTGGCATCTTTTGCACCAGCAAACTGAACGGGCACGGGGCCCAGGATGCAGCGAGCCCTCCGTCCACAGTGGGCGACTCGACGCTCCAAATCCTCAGTTCAGATGCCCAGCAGACCAGCGTCTGTGGGGACCAAATCAGTGGAGCTCTGACCCTTGCTGCAAATTCTTTTTAAAGGAAGGGAGGAAGTTGTTATCTCTATTGAGCATGGATTTTTGAATATCTGGAGTGTTTGTTTATGATGTGTTTATTTATGGTCTTTCTCAGTGAGGATACGAGGGCCAGACAGGCAGGAACTTGGCTGTGTCTCTTCCCTGCGGTGTCCCTGGCATCTGGAGAGGCTCCGGGCACACAGCAGCCCCTCCGCAATCCATGCTGAATGACAGAAGAGAGCCACCCAGGGGTTTGATGCACTTCAGGGTCCGACATGGGGGCAGTGTGACAGCCTCCAGGAGATATTTCCTGCACAGGGGAGGTACGTCCCCAAGTCTCCGGGACTTGGACCCCTGTGTGAGGCCAGTTGCATTAACCTCCTCTCCTCTTCTGCCTCGCTGTGCCTGGAGGTGTGGGAGCTGCTCACCCCTCTGGGTCCCCCAAAGAAGGAGCCTCTGGTCTCAGCTCTCGCCCTGCACTGTGTGATCTTGAGAGTTGCTGCCTGCCCGAATCAGCTGCCTAGGAAAATGGGTCGACCCCCTACATGCAAAAGCTGAAGCTGCAGGACTCTTAGGAGACACCAGAGCAGTGAATCATCATGGCCTTGAATCTGGTGATGGATTCTAAGATAACGACATCAAAAGCCAAAGCAGCAAAGAAAAAAGCTAGAAAAACAAGACTTTATCAAAATGTAGAACCATTTGTGCACCAGAGAATATTCTAGAGAAAGTACAAAGACAATCTACAAGATGGGAGAAATATTTCTCCAGTACGAAGTGGGAAAATTGTATTTCTGATAAAGGTTTAATATCCAGGCAAAGAACCCTTACGTCTCAGGACAAAAACAAAACAAACAAACCAAAAAAATATATATATATGAAATAGGCAAAGGACCTGAGTAGAGATAACTCCAAGGAAGAAATAGTCAAAAGGTACTCAAGATAGGCAATGACAGAAGTCACTGGGGAAGTCCAAATAGAAACACAGTGAGACACCCCATTCTGCACTTTGCACTGCCTCAAGTACTTAAAAAATTAAAGAGAATAATAAGTGTTGGTGATGATGCAGAGAAATTAGAACTTTTGTATAAGGTTATTAAGAGTGATTCAACCATTGTGAGAAACATGAAAGATCTTATAAATCCAGACACTATGGCTCACCCTGTGACTCAGCCAGTCCACTTCCAGGTGTATACACAAAAGAATTTGAAACAGGAACATCAGCTCATAACAACAGTAATCACAACAGACAGAAGGTAGAAACAATCTAAAAGTCATCAACAAACAGATAGATAAGTATTCTAACTATAATGATCTTATCCAGCCATGCAAAGGAATGAAATCCTCCGCCTCTCCCCACCATGTGCTGTTGGGGATTGAACTGTGGGCCTCACAGTTTCCAGGCAACTGCTTGGTCCCTGAGCTACACTCCCTGCCCCAGGAGTAAAATTCTGACACATACTATGATAAGGGTAAACCTTGAGAACATTACGCTGCATGGAAGAAGCTAGATACCGGAGCATAAATATTACTTAGTTTCACTTATTCAAAATAGCTACAAACAGGGAAATTCATAGAGTTTGCCAGGGGCAGGAGGCAGGAAACAGGAGTTGTTATTCCACATTTACAGAGTTTCTGTTGAGGGAGAGGAAGTGTTTCAGAAACAGTGCTGATGATGGGGCACAGCGTCTGCAGTGGGGTTGATAAAACGGTGAAATGGCTGATTTCACATTGTGTTTATTTTACCACATTAAAGGAGGATAATTTTTAAAAGAATGAAGTGCTCTAGGGCACATCACAGAAGGATCTGCTTTGGCGACCCAAGACATTCACGAAGTGCCTTGCTTCTATGAGACCCCCGCCTGCTTCAAGCCTGTTATGGCTTATATGTAGACTCCCTCCAAAGTCTCATGTGCTCAAAAGTGGGGCTTCCAGAGCGGGTACGATTCTGGGTTAATGGTGTGTTAGTTTAGCATAGTTCTGGCTGTAAATAATGGATCCCCCTCCTGGGTGTGGATGGCAAGAGCCGGTAGGCTTGCAGCCTGGATGGAATCATGAGGAGACAGAAGGAGAGCAGGCCAGCTGCTGCTGTGGCTGCTTTCTCCCGCCTCCCGCCTGCCTGCCGTGGACTCTCCTCTCTGTGATGCCCCTCTGCCGTGCCACCTGCCTTGGAGCCAGCTGGTCAGGGACTGAAATCTCTATGAACTTCAAGCTAAATAAACCTTTCGTCCTCTAACTTTGGGTGTCAGGTATTTTATCTCAGCAATGAAACAATGAACTAAGACAAGCCCAAAGACTTTACCCTGAAGCGAGACATGCTAAGACACCCAGCCCTATAAACTCTGTCCAGTCTTCTGTTTATGGCAAAAAATATTGTGTCTGGAGTACCTCAGACTTAGGAGAAAAAATATAGAGAGAGAGATATGTAAAATTTTCCATTTCAACATTTTTTATGGTGCTGAGAATTGAACCCAGAGCCTTCATACTGAACTATGTCCTCAGTCTCTCCCCATGCTGTTATATTTTTAAAATTTTGAAACAGGGTTCCATTAAGTCACAAAGTAGCCCAGGTTAGCCTAGAACCTGTGATCTTCCTGCCTCAGCTTCCCAGAGGTCTAGGATTGCAGGCACACACCACCATACCTAGCTCGCGTCTTGGGTCTGAAAGCTATTATCCGGCATTGGTAAAATGCTCTTAGATCTGTTAACAAGCTGATGATGTGAGACGGGGTGGGCTCAGGGGAAGACAGCATGTGGCTACGGCTCACCTCTAAGGGTGGGGAGCGTGGACTCCCCCAAGTCAGGCCAAACTGGAATAGACTGTTTCACTAACATGTGTTCAGCCGTAAGAGCATAAAAATTGTGGGTGGGAACCCAAAGTGATCACATTCATGCTTCACTCAAAACTTACAAAGCACTCATGTCAAATCTAAGCAGTCTGAGAGCAGAAAGGAAAAACTCGTCTTGCTTATTAGAATGACTCCAGTGCCTCTCAGAACTGAGACAAGATAGAGGGTCAGCGCCCACCTGCTGCCCGTGCTGAGGGGCAGCTCCATGGTAGAGTGCACGCTTAGCACACGAAGCCCTGGGCTCAATCCCGGGGATTACCAAAAAATAAAGAAATAATCCAAACCCAGGCCACAGCGGGTGATTGCACATGGGCTCTGGCTTGAATCCCAGGGCCCTGCTTCCTCAGAGGACCTGATGTCATCACGCCCATCCTAACAACGAAGTCGTGAAAGACCTGGAGTCATGCATTTGAGGAGCAAGGGAACCAGGCTTTGAGCCTGTGTTCTCCAAAACTGTCAGCACATTTCCGAGAGAAATCCCCACTCCTGGGAGCTCCTGAGGTCACTTACCTTCCACAGATGCCACTGGCAATGCACGGTCTGCAGTCATGACTCAGGGTAGCAATCACGATGACAAACGTCAGTAAGCTCCTGTAGTTGGCCAAACCCTGCGAACCCTGCACCAAGGGAATTCTAGACAGTTCTCGGAATCACCCTGGGAGAGGCGTGCATGGGTCCCCCTACAGGACACGGAAGTCGGGATCAGAGGGGTGAAGTGCCTCGCTCAGCTCCCAAGCTGAGATGGGGACCCACGGTCCTGCGCCTCCAAAGTTCGTGACACTTCTCATGACCCTGATGGGCTTCTAGATTATGTAGGTTTTTAGCAGCAACCTGGGGCTGTGGGAATCTTTAGCTTTGGCAAAACAAGCATCAGCATCTTTGGTGGCAAACATCCATGACATTTAGGCTCAGTCACTCTGCCAAACAAAGGAGAGGAAAGAGGGTCGGTCATCAGTCACCGAGATGTTGTCAACTGCTTCTGGGAACTGAGGAACGCCAAGCCACCAGGGCTGCAAAGCATCGTGGGCTTGTTCTGCAGATGTCTGAGAGCCTGCTGGCCCACCCTCCTCGTGTCAGGGCTCCTGGCTGAGAGACAGCGACACTGAGGTCTCTATCACTACTAATAACACCACCTCCCCGTTTTCTGTCTGCATTGAGCGGATGAGACCACAACACAAATGCTCACAAATAACTAAGAAACACAGCCCAGGGCGCTCAGCTACGATGAGCCCCTAGTGAGCTGAGCGGTGGCCCCCCAAGATCTGAAAGCTGAAAAACTGGATGCAATCTTACATGGAAATAGCATCTTGCAGATTCGATTAAGTCAAGGACCTTAAAACGGGATTATCCTGCATCTAGGCGGTACCCTAAATCTTATAGTGGGGTTCTTACAGAAAAGCTTTTGGGGGAGAGTTGAGAGCTAGATGCACAGAGGAAAGTCCACGGGAGGACAGAGGAGGTGTGGAATCACAGATCAGCAGGCCAGAGACCCTGAGAGCACCCAGAAGAGCAGATCCGCGGACACCGGCTCTCAGACTTGCCATCCCCAGCGCCGGGAGAGTCACGGCTGTTTCCGACCACCCGACGTCTGGCTCTTTGTCACTGCAGCTGGGAACAGCCAGATCCCAACACAAGCGGCGGCCCAGCTCCTCAGCGCTCCGCTGTAAGCCACATACCTAGAACCAGCTTTGTACTGCCTGAAGTGAGCGCTTGGCCTCTTGACGTTCCCAGATTCCATGACCCAGTGTACTGCTGTGTTCAGAAAAAAGTGTACACGCACGCCGCACACACAGCTTACACAAGCACATGCATACTCCACACACACCCTCCACTGAGGGCCACGAAGGCTTCTTTCCAGGCATTTTTTATAGGATTGTTAGCTCTCAAAACAAGACCAAAATCACACCTGGAAAGCTGATTGAGTGGACAGCAGGGCGAACCTTGTTGGTCCAACATTGGAGCTGGAGAACTGGGTCTCATCAGCAGGTGCTAGTCTATGGATGCTTTTATCTCTGGCTTTCAGGCACCTTTGGAGGTGGAGGAAGGGAATCCGCTCTGGTCTCCATTTGATCTGACCATGGCGTCTGGAGAGATCTTTTCAGACTTCTCCAATGTCTCAATTGTTTTTTTTGGGGGGGGCGGGGGGGCAGAATTGTCTG